TTTAAAAATAATTTAAAATTTAACTTCATTTTTATAAATATTTTTGTTTAAAAGTTGTAAAAAATATAATTTTTAATATTATTAGACAAATAAATAAATTATATTAAGTAAGTTTTGAAACTTATATATTTTAAATGCAAGTATTTACCAACTGCTTCTTAAGAAAACATTAGAGAACTTGCTAATACTTTACCAATCAAGCCCAGTGNAAATAAATAAATTATATTAAGTAAGTTTTGAAACTTATATATTTTAAATGCAAGTATTTACCAACTGCTTCTTAAGAAAACATTAGAGAACTTGCTAATACTTTACCAATCAAGCCCAGTGACACTCCGTTTATTTTCCACGAACACTGAAAAGTGAAAAGATATATGAAGTCGGGTGCATTAAATTTTAAGCTTTGATCTACATTTCTAATTACAATTGTTTCTGATCCTACGTATAGATAATTATATAAAAATTCCAAAATTCTAAAATTTCAAATACATATAAAAACAATCATATGTAAATTTTAAAATTGTCAATACTTAAATTTTATATTTTAATTACATATATTCGCCCTGCGCAAGGCGCATGTCTTATCCTAGTTTTGTTAGTAAAGAAAAAGAAAATATCTCATGAGGAGATTGCAAAAGAAATTTGGTTGACATATTTCACTATAAACCTTAAATACTGAATGCATGAAATTAAGAGAGAAAATATCTTGTCAGTTGATTGCAACAAATTTTTGAATGACATTTTCTACTACAAATTTTAAAATAATATATATATATATATATATATATATATATAAGCAAAAATCTAAATATACAACAACATTTTTTAAAAAAATTCACATATCTCACTATGGATATTTAATATGACATGAGTTTGTATCCAAGTAAATTTATTTTGATTCTTATTTATAATTTTTTTTGAAGTAAACATAAGCATTATTTGTTAAAAACTGAAATTGTTCTTTATAATTAATAACAAATCAAAAGTTTTAATTGTAACCGAAATTTTCTGTTTAAAAAAACATATAATGAGGACTTTCCTAAAGAATAAGAAAGTATATATCTAAATTAAATATTATTTAATAGTTGAATGCAGATATATGACTAACTTCCTAAATGTAAATTATATTTACTTTCTTATTAATTATAAGATACTATCAATAACTTCCTAAAAATAGATATCTAAGAAATATTATATCATATTGTAATTACACTATTTAGACATATAATATTACATAATAATGTGAGGTCCATAATAAAGCATTATATAAATCAAACTCAATTATTATGCAAATTCGTGTGCAAATATAAAATCAAGTTATCAGGAGGTAGTTTGGTTTGATGAGGTGAGAATTGCCGTGTGCATATTAAATTGTTTATTTTTATTTTAAATAGTTTATTTTTATTTAAAAAACTTAAATATTGTTTTTAAAAAGAATTTAAAATTTAACTTAATTTTTGTAAAATTTGTTTTTTAAAAGTTGTAAAAAATATAATTTTTAATATTATTAGACAAATAAATAAATTATATTAAGTAAGTTTTGAAACTAAATAATTTTCGTTAGGATTGGGGAATTGCTGCGATTCTTCCTGAATAGCCTGGATTCTCCTGTCGTGAGTCGCTTTGAAAGTCGTACCTAAACTCTTACGACTGAATATGATATAGCCTATAAAAAAATAGCTACTCTTATAGATTGAGATCTTCTTCGAACTGAACGGGAAGTGGTTTAGGAAAGGACTTTTGAATCGGATGCGCTCGCCCAGCGAGAAAGGCCCTGACCCTGCCGACCAGGAAAAAAAAGAGAACGAAAGGATTTAAAATGCAAATATTTACCAACTGCTTCTTAAGAAAACATTAGAGAACTTGCTAATACTTTACCAATCAAGCCCAGTGACACCGTTTATTTTCCACAAACACTGAAAAGTGAAAAGATATATGAAGTTGGGTCCATTAAATTTTAAGCTTTGATCTACAGTTCTAATTACAATTGTTTCTGATCATATGTATATAATTATATAAAAATTCCAAAATTCTAAAATTTCAAATACATATAAAAACAATCATATGTAAATTTTAAATTTGTCAATACTAAAATTTTATATTTTAATTACTTATATTAACCCTGCGTAAGGCGCATGTCTTATCCTAGTTTTGTTAGTAAAGAAAAAGAAAATATCTCATGAGGAGATTGCAAAAGAAATTTGGTTGACATATTTCACTATAAACCTTAAATACTGAATGCATAAAATTAAGAGAGAAAATATCTTGTCAGTTGATTGCAAAAAGTTTTTGAATGACATTTTCTACTACAAATATTAAAATAATATATATATATATAAATCTAAAGTGTATACTACAACAATTTTTTTTTTAATTCACATATCTCACTATGGATATTTAATATGACATGAGTTTGTATCCAAGTAAATTTATTTTGATTCTTATTTATAATTTTTTTTTGAAGTAAACATAAGCATTATTTGTTAAAAACTGAAATTGTTCTTTATAATTAATAACAAATCAAAAGTTTTAATTGTAACCGAAATTTTCTGTTTAAAAAAACATATAATGAGGACTTTCCTAAAGAATAAGAAAGTATATATCTAAATTAAATATTATTTAATAGTTGAATGCAGATATATGACTAACTTCCTAAATGTAAATTATAATTATTTTCTTATTAATTATAAGATACTATCAATAACTACCTAAAAATAGATATCTACGAAATATTATATCCTATGTAATTAGACTATTTAGACATATAGTATTACATAATAATGTGAGGTCTATAATAAAGAATTATATAAATCAAACTCAATTATTATGAAAATTCGTGTGCAAATATAATATCAAGTTATCAGGAGGTAGTTTGGTTTGATGAGGTGAAAATTGCCGTGTGCATATTAAATTGTTTATTTTTATTTTAAATTTTTTATCTTTATTTGAAAAACTTAAAATATTGTTTTTAAGAAGAATTTAAAATTTAACTTAATTTTTATAAATTTTTTTGTTTAAAAGTTGTAAAAAAATAATTTTTAATATTATTAGACAAATAAATAAATTATATTAAGTAAGTTTTGAAACTTATATATTTAAAATGCAAATATTTACCAACTGCTTCTTAAGAAAACATTAGAGAACTTGCTAACACTTTACCAATCAAGCCCACTGACACTCCGTTTATTTTCCACGAACACTGAAAAGTGAAAAGATATATGAAGTCGGGTCCATTAAATTCTAAGTTTTGATATACAGTTCTAATTACATTTGTTTATGATCCTACGTCTAGATAATTATATAAAAATTCCAAAATTCTAAAATTTCAAATACAAATAAAAACAATCATATGTAAATTTTAAATTTGTCAATACTAAAATTTTATATTGTAATTACATATATTAACCCTGCGCAAGGCGCATGTCTTATCATAGTTTTGTTAGTAAAGAAAAAGAAAATATCTCATGAGGAGATTGCAAAAGAAATTTGGTTGACATATTTCACTATAAACCTTATATACTGAATGCATGAAATTAAGAGAGAAAATATCTTGTCAGTTGATTCCAACAAATTTTTGAATGACATTTTCTACTACAACTATTAAAATAATATATATATATATAAGAAAAAATCTAATGCGTATACTATAACAATTTTTTTTAATTCACATATCTCACTATGGATATTTAATATGACATGAGTTTGTATCCAAGTAAATTTATTTTGATTTTTATTTATAATTTTTTTTGAAGTAAACATAAGCATTATTTGTTAAAAACTGAAATTGTTCTTTATAATTAATAACAAATCAAAAGTTTTAATTGTAACCGAAATTTTCTGTTTAAAAAAAACATATAATGAGGACTTTTCTAAAGAATAAGAAAGTATATATCTAAATTAAATATTATTTAATAGTTGAATGCGGATATATGACTAACTTCCTAAATGTAAATTATAATTATTTTCTTATTAATTATAAGATACTATCAATAACTTCCTAAAAATCGATATCTACGAAATATTATATCATATTGTAATTAGATTATTTAGACATATAATATTACATAATAATGTGAGGTCCATAATAAAGCATTATAGAAATCAAACTCAATTATTATGCAAACTAGATGCATAGTCCCCGCGCAAGCGCGGAGTTGGATACAATGTTAATATGTTGTGTAGTTTTGTGTATGAGACTTTGCTATTTTTTTTTTAATATTTTGTTTATCTGATTTATCTATAGTGGTGATGAATGAAACATTAGAAGTCACACAAGTTGATTAGTCTGATAAAAGAATAAACATCGAATTCATATGGGTTGATATTTTCATATTTTATCTTCTTAGTGATTTTATCGAGCATTCTGCTTTATTAGTGATTTTATAAAAGTATCTAAGATGGTCTCATAAAGTTTCAAATCCTTAAGCCATTTTGTATCCCAACAACCAGCATAAAAAATCATTCTGAATCTCCCTAAACTTTTTATGCAAGCACTGCGTTTCGAACCCGCGCACTCACGGTACCAACTTCTCATCACCAACATACACCACTGGGCCATTTCATCACTCATTGATCACATTCAATGTTAAAAAGTCTTATACGTTTTTTCTCTCCGAATAACACGGGCGCGTGACCCACTAGGCTACTGACGTGGATAGCCTAAAAATCTTCAAAAGTGAATCATTATTATATAGATTCGTGTGCAAATATAAAATCAAGTGATCAGGAGGTAGTTTGGTTTGATGAGGTGAAAATTGCCGTGTGCATATTACCCCCCCCCCACCCCCCTCCACCAGCTTTCTCCCTCTCCAACGGTTCTCCTTGAATCTCCCATCGGAATCGTCGCATCCCCACTAACGAAAAGGATATTGTTAAAAACAAAATTGTTGTTTTCTATAATTAAAATTCGAAAACAAGACTCTCTCTCTCTCTGCCTCTCTCAGATCTGAATTCTTCCCACTTGAAGCTTTTCATCTCCGATCTAACAAGAAAGAGAGAAAATGGCGGCTGCACGAGCATCATCCCCAGCCAGGGAAGAGTTTGTTTACCTTGTGAAGCTGGCAGAGCAAGCGGAGCGTTATGAAGAGATGGTTGAATTCATGGAGAGAGTCGCCGAAGCCGTTGACAAAGACGAACTCACCGTGGAAGAACGTAACCTCCTCTCCGTCGCTTACAAAAATGTGATCGGTGCTCGTCGTGCCTCGTGGCGCATCATTTCCTCCATCGAACAGAAGGAAGAGAGTCGTGGCAACGACGAACACGTCACCACGATCCGTGACTATAGAAGTAAGATCGAATCTGAGCTCTCCAAAATCTGCGACGGTATTCTTAAGGTTCTCGATACAAGACTCATTCCGACTACTGCTAACGGAGATTCCAAGGTTTTCTACCTTAAGATGAAGGGAGATTACCATAGGTACTTGGCTGAGTTTAAGACTGGCCAGGAGAGGAAAGACGCCGCCGAGCATACCCTCACCGCTTACAAAGCCGCTCAGGTAATTGATAATTTAGTTTCTAGGTCAAATCGTGATAATACATCTGTTTCTCTTTCTAGGACATTGCAAACTCTGAATTGGCTCCAACGCACCCGATCCGTCTGGGTCTGGCTTTGAACTTCTCTGTCTTTTACTACGAGATTCTCAACTCTCCAGATCGTGCTTGCAGTCTCGCTAAGCAGGTGTTGAAAACTTTCTGATCTCCCCGGTTCTATGTTGTTGCCTCTTTTGTGTGATTGACGAGATATTTCACAGGCATTTGATGATGCTATTGCTGAGTTGGATACTCTAGGCGAGGAGTCATACAAGGACAGTAATTTGATCATGCAGCTTCTCCGTGACAACCTTACTCTCTGGACTTCTGACATGCAGGTAAGAACTAGTCGTCAATCCTTGAAAGTTGAAACCTTTCTTTCTTTCAACTTTATGTGTTTCATTGTAAACTATGAACCACTGAAATGGTGTTTTTTTTTTTCTGAAATTTATTTTATAAGAGTATCTAAGTTGTTGGAATTATCCAATCTCCACTCTCATTGTTTATATGTTCTGAAATCAAATGGTAACAACTAACCTTTGGTCCGTGAAACCTTTCTTTGTTTCAGCTTTTATGTGTTTCAATCAAATCTAGGAACTGCTTAAAATGTATATGATAAGTAACTTATCGTTTTCTGCTTTGTTTCCTTAACAACTAGGGCTGGGCAAATAAACCGAATCCGAAAACCCGAACCGAATCCGACCTGGTAAAATTGAATCGAACCGATCCGAACCTGATATAAATAACGAATGGATCTTGTTTTATGGTATTTCGGGTTATGGGTATTATCCGAACCAAACCCGAACCTAAATCCGAAACATTCAAAATTTCAAAAAAGCACTTGTACCAAACATGATTTCAATTCCTCATATATATCCAAAATACTTTAAGATATTATTAAATATCTAAAATAATTATTTTTACATGAAAGTTAATAGTTGTAGATGGCGGTTGAAGTTTGACGTTTTTAGATTTTGGCTTTATTTTCACTAAATAATGTTTCTCATTTCATGAGAATTTCATTTTTGTTTTATGTCTTCATTTATTTGTTTTCTTTTTAGCAGTAACTATGTTTAACTTTCGTTTGATTTTGAATGATCATGTTTGATGTCCTTTTCTTATTTTTGAATCAATTTCACTTATGTTTTGATTATAAAATAAGTATAAATCAGGTATTTTAAATTCGAAGAAATCGATTTTACTTATGTTTTGGTTACAAAGTAAGTATAACTCAGGTATTTTTAAATTAAAGAACCCAGTGGGATCCGAAACCGAAAGTATAATGGGTTATACCGGTTCTTTGAAAATTTACTAACTCTGACCCGAACCCGATAGAACCCAAACCGATCCCGAACCGAATTCTCATATAACTCGAATGAGGCTGATTTTGATAAACCCAAAAAAAACCAAAATCCAAATGGACCACACCGAAACCCGATTGGGATCCCGAACGCCCTTGCCTATTAACAACTCTCAAAAGATAATCAAAGGAATAATATGTTCAAACTTTGAAAATGTTATTGATGGTTTGATGGTAAACATTACTGGATTATGATTGGATTGCATTTTTTTCTTTTTTTTTTGAGAAACATGGATTGCATTGTTTCTAAAATCATTCTCAAATGATAATCAAATATCCTAAAATGCTTAAAATCGTCCACCCACATTGTTTATAGGTTCTGAATGGTTAGCTTTGCATTTGAAACCCTTATCTTCTTTTTTTCCTGACCTAAATCGTGCGTTAATTTCAATGATTATGGAGCTTTCCATCCACAGAGTTCATAGGTTTTGGAAATCACATGGCTACGTTTTTGATTGATGATAATGATATCCTCATGATCTTCCTGTCCTGATATGATTATTATGCGTTGGTTGAATGATATTAATCAGGACGAAGGTACAGAGAGATCAAAGAAGCGGCACCACCAAAGCCAGCTGAAGAAGAGAAGGAGACTTAAGTCTGTTATTCAGTATTGTAAACTCATCCAACTATTATGTTTTTTCGCTTGTGTTTGTTTTTCTAATTTCTTCCGTTTGCCTTCCCCGAAGCTTCTAAGGGCGTCTATCTTGTCCTTTGTTTGCTCTTCCTAATCGTGGATACTACTGGGTTTATTATCTTGTTTCCTTTTCTTCTTATTGATTGAAAGTCGACCTTTGTCCCTTGTAGAACTCAGATTGCTTTCTTATTAATGCCATATATCAGGTGATGTTTTTTCGTACACATACTTTTAGTTTTGTTCCCAGTTTGCATAGGTTTACACAGCCTATTGATGGGCGTTTGACGATGCTAGAAATGTAGAAAGATAGGCTGCATAGCGCTTGTCATTACGAGAAAGACCGACCTATAATCTGCAAATTTTAAGTGAGTGTCGGCGTTGTATATAATTGTATCAAACTTGATTTGGTTAGTTTATTTCGATCTCCATGTTCCCAAGCTTGAACTAAAAGGGGACTTCTAATACTTTTTAACATCAGAACCTATGTCCTAAAAACGTTATGGACGTCTTATTTGACATGATCACCAGAAAGAGCTATCTTATCTTGAAACTTACATTCCAAAGAACAGAACCATTACGGGTTCCTACACATCTCATCACCAACATTCTTATCCAAAACGTCTTAACTCAAGATTTCCCCAAGCAATGAAAAAATAGACCCCCGGCTCCCATGACTGCCTTTTGCATCGCAATGGGGCGATTCGCTTCAACGATGGAGAAAGGGACATCCGTTACGGCCAAATCTTCATTGAGAATTTGGCAGGAACAACTCTCAACTGGTTTTCTTGATTGGGGGCAACATTATCAACAATTCCAACCAGCTGTCAATGGTTTTTATGAATCACTACTCTATATTCATAGCAAAAGAGGTTTATGACACATTTGTGGACAATGTCCCAAAATAGGAGTCGCTCTGCTATTTTATCGGAAGATTCAAGACTGTCCTCTCCAACATTGTCTTAAGTGAAGGTAACATAAAACTTATAAATATAAAGATTAAGCTAGAAAAGTAATCATAAGTAAACAATAGAAATAAATTGAGAGTTGATTTGTAAACTTATGAGAATAAATAGCTACATCTAGGGTTTCAGGCTAAAGTATTGTTTCTATAGATGCTAAGGGTGTGTGGAAAACCGTCCTAGAACTTGAATACTAAAGCAAGATATCTAGCTATCGCTGCGAGTCTAATCAAATGACTAAGTTTTTGGTCCATGTTTCGACCTTCGAGAAAAGAACAAGTATCGATCGATACTATGGTAAGAGTGTCGATTGAAAACTACCCTAGACAAGCATTAACGTCCTAATCGATATGTTCACTAAATTTGTCTACCAGATTTCGACCTGCATCTAACAACCTAGCTTAACATAATTATTATCAGGTATAGATCATACCGTCGTATTTATCTATATCCTAAGTTCAGGGTTCTAGTTAGCTACTCTAGAACACAATCAATGTGATCAATTATGACGAAGGATCCTAGCTCTAACTAAGAATTATAATTAGCAATACATATAAACCCTAATAAAATCCTAGCTCTAACTAAGAAGACTACTCAGACATAATCAAGCAAAGCATAATATATATCTGAATAGAATAAGGTAAGAAAACAATGGAGTTCGTATACTAATCTCTGATGCAGTCTTTATCTTCTCTCCTAATCTACTAAAAGCTTCTAAGTATGGTGGAATAGTTTGTGTATGGTAAAAGGCGGTGTGCTGCCCAAGAATGGCAAAATATAAATACTCGGTATAAAGTAGGACATGAGTAGTCTTGTAATTATCTAAAACTTTTGGGCTCAAGTCGGTCACGAACAAGTCGGCCCAATCCTTCGCGTCGCTGTCGATCGATACCAAGTGGTTGTCGATTGACAAACTTTTTGATTCTCGGCTCTGAATTATGATTCTTCAGCAGCTAGGGTTTCTTCATCACTAACCTCCAAAATGCTCCATAATCTCCACATTGCTCCAAAACGTACCTATACCTGATAAGACTCTAAAACAGTCTCCAAACACATATAATGCTATCTAAAAAGCACATATACTGTGGGTGAAAACTGGTAAAATCCATAGTATATCAACTCCTCCAGACTTATCATTTTGTTTGTCCTCAAGCAAAGAATATCCCCATCTCAAAAAGGTTTGAATACGCAGGGACTCACAAAATCTTTAACTTACTACTATCACCTCTTCAATGTTGCAGCTACATTGAATAAATGCTAGCCTTAGAGGTACTATATATACCCTACCCTAGCTTAGCATTCAAATCTATTCTACCAGCAACTTAGCTAATATTGTCTGACCCACCTCTCTACTAACCTCATTTCTTACATATAAAAAGGTGCAGTCTTTACCTTGGTAGTATCGATCAAATGACACATGGACTCTTACTCAAGCAAGTATCTAAACACACATGCATCCTTCTCTGATATCTTTCTTGTCTATTTCTCTCTTCTTTGAATCTTTGTTTATTCTAATGTATCAATGACACTGATGCAGTCCGTCTTTTCCATCTTCTTTTTCTCTTTTTCTCTTTATTTATTTATTTTATTTTACAAAGTGCAGGCGAATAGTGGGGTCATTGGTAATGTACCTACCCCTCATTTCTACAATGTGTGATCATTTCTTCTGAATTAGAATAATAGGGTCATCGGTAATGTATCTACCTCTCTGCATTTTTCAGAAAATCATCTCAATCTTTTCTTTTATAGATGCCAAAGAGAGAGAGAAGAGGACCAGAAACACACAACCTTTTACCTTCTAGACTTGTAAGAAGAATCCGATCCAGTGTAAACTAAGCACAAAGCAAGCAATTTAAGTCCAATTAGGTTGGAGGTCAACTTTGGTTCCTTCAAACATTCTGAGAAAGTGTGGATTTGAATGGTAAGTGATCCACTTTGGTATCTCTAGTACACTCTACAGTCGGTAAATCTAAGATTGGTGTTATAGACTAGTTTGATAATAAGTAACAATTTAAAATGATCATAATCCTCTTCTTGACTCTATAAAAACTCAAGAAAAACTCATTAAAAAATAAAACGAAAAACGAAAAACAATATATGTAAACCTCCCCCAGAATTAAACAACAACATCTCCAATGTTATCAGTCGCAAATAGGTGCGAAAGTAAATCATAAGGACAACATTAAACAAGGAAAATGGTATAACTGCTCTCTGATGGTGAGTATTGACCAGCACAGTCAAGTGACGATCGATCGATGCTCGGGTTGGTTTGTCGATCGGCAGTGATCAAGTGTCGATCAATGCTCTATGCAGTTGCATTTCCTAGGGTCTATTTTTTTTAACCTGCAATAAAACAAATACAAGAAATCAGTAGAACTAAAAAAAATTTTAAAACTTACTAAATGGGATGCCTCCCATGCATGAAGCGTTTGGTTATAGTTTATAGCTTGACATTTTGGATGTTTTTGACTAGTTATTAGGTAATGGAATGCCTATTGGAAAAAAACTATCCACATATTCTCTGCTCATATCGAACCAAGTGCCTACAAAGATTTTGATGGCTTCTTCTCCTTTGGTTTTATGCTCTGGCTGTATCTGAATAATCTCATGTGTGTAATCCAGTTTCAGCTGTAGCTCTTCCATACATTTGTTGATCCATCAAACGCTGTTGTTGAGAGGATAGTAGATTGCATCAATCTTCTTGTAAAACGCATCAAACATCCGCTCTTGTGCTCTGTAGATGCCAGCTGTCATCTCTTCAATTTGCTCTCTTCTGGAGATCTCATGTGCTGGAAAAATCGAGTTCTCAAACTTAAGACGTCCCTCATATTGTGGTAGATTGAGGTAGATCTTTCATGTACCATGAGTCATCTTCAGAATGTCTGCTATATCTTTGTTAGAATCATTGATGATCCTTCCATCTTTTGCATGTGTGCGCCCCATCTGAGCTATGACAACTCTAAATTTATCTACTGAAAGAAATTTTTCTGGTTGTCCAAATCTTCTGAATCTGAGAGGGGTTGCTGGTTGTTCTGTGTAGAATCGTCTGGATTCTGGGAATGGTGGGGGGTGTCAATCGATTGCGGATACTGAGTGTCAATTGATGCCTCA